AAAAAGATTGGTGCACGATGCTTTCCTGGTCACTAATATGGTACTAATTTCTAATGTTTCATGGTTTGTCAGTGGTGTCTAAATAATCTTAAAAAGTACATATAACTCGGAAAAAATCACCTTTGTTCTTGCCGTTGGAAGGTTTCGGATCTTTGTGCTTTAGAAGCACAGGTTTATACTTCCGGACCACCATGACATTATTTATTTTATTGCAAGATCGATTAATCGACGTGCTTCATCGTAGACCGCATCATCGCTTCCCACCAGGCGAGATAATGTGTCCATGGGCCCATCAAATATAGAGGTATAAAAAAACAGTTTATTGTTGCTATAATATTCAGGACAAGATCTAATGATTATCCTAAATAAATCGAGAGAATTTTATGTTATAAGGACGTTTTGATATTTTTGTTTAACTCGTCGAGTACCGGTTTTGTAGACACAATTATAGAACAATAGGTTGCGGTCACCGGTGACCGCTTGGTGTTTGACAGTTTAAAACCCAGCGTATAATCTTGTTAAACCAGCCATCAATTTTATCTTTTTAATACACGCTTCAGTCACGCATACATCAAATGGCTGTCACCAGCAACGGAAGCGATTAATAGTCATTCAATTGCAATAAATAAATACTGATAAAGGTATATTTGTTTATCAATAAATGTTGTGATTTCCTTATGAATATGTGTATGATTAATTTTAAAGTATATCTTCGTAAAGTTATTGGAAAACCGGTACAAAAATAGATATTATAGGTATGTGTTATCTGTCTATATTAAGGAATAAAAATGTACCGAATGAATCGATATGGTGAATAGTGTCTAATCGGTTATCAGTTATCATCATCAAAAAGTACATAATAAAGTTTGTTCTTGACAAGGACGTTGAAAAAAAGGCGTTGCGGACGACCTAAGGGATACCGAAGCTCCGGCTCGAAGCAGGAATAGGAACGGAGTGGTTTTAACTCTTTGAGTACCGTCATTATAAACACAATTAAAGAACAATAGGTTGCGGTCACCGGTGTCCTCGCGGTGTTTGACAGTTTAAGGCAGTAATGACACTCCCTCTCTCTTACACAAGGCGGGAGAAGTCATTAGATTAGACTTTCTTCTCTCAAAAAAATAAGTATTAGCACGAACAAATGAAGAATTAGACAATCGCAGTCACCCTTATTATATAGTTTATCACGTTTAATCCGGATATTGGCGATTGAAATCAAAATTAACTCCTTTTCCTTAAAGATATGGTTACATCTACTGATGACACGTTGTGTCTTATCACAGAAATGACTATATAACAGTCGGGTACACAACTCAGAAGCACATTGTATACACTTGGCTTCAAGTTGTAAGTTTCTTCTGTAGAATTAAAATAAAAACATAAAGGGTGAGTGACAAAATATCTATTTGTAGTATCTACGATAGAAACTCCAAATTTGATTCAACAATCATAATTATACTAGTATTAATCGAAACCAGAACATATAATCAATATTGACTATGAAAAATAAAATGTAATTTAATGACAAGGGCACTGACACTGGTCCGTGGAGAATAAAATATATTTTGTATACGTGATTTCATAAATGAAATCTTTTTTATTATTAAATATTAAAGTCTGTACTATAATACTCATTTTTCATCTCGTCTGGGCTATTCTTAACCAAACGTTGTCGTTACAGATGAGGAGCTTCATCATCATCACAGTGCTGTCAGCACTCGTAGCCTGCTATGGCGCCGCTGTCCTCCCGAGCGAGGAGGAGATGGTCACCATAATATACGACGACAAGTCACCTAATGGAATCATTATGTCCAGAGCAGACTTTAGTGCCAGATCTCAGGGTTGGGTACTGCTATCTGAGTGAGTATCTAAGTAATATAATAGATTTAGTATAAAATTCGAGCCCTGTGCTCTGCAGACGGCAAGTAAAGGTGGTTCACCGCGCGATAAGAACCAGACTCGTGCGTAAGAAGCGTAGCGTTCCGCGCCCGTGAAAGAGCTATCAGATCAGCACAGATAAAGCCCATAGTAGAACCGATGGACCGGGGCTACGGACGACTTTTAGGGTTATTGAAGCTCCGGCTTGAAGCAGGAGTCCCAAAACCAGTAATCATTTGACAATATTACCCAACAACAAAGTAAAATGTCGGAAGAGGGATAAAATAGTTTGATAAAGTTTAAAAATGATTATTAAATTTTAGACTTCATTATGCTGAAAAAAAAGAACGAAGAAGATTGCTGTATTAAAAAAATAAATCATTTTTTTTTTCAGAGCAAACGACTTAATTCCGGCTGTTGAAGGCCAAGAGCAGAGCATCAGAATGGTCTACAGAGCACAGCGCGGAGTGAAAATAAATATGCTGTCAGTATCTGCTCGTCTCAGTGGTATTCCTGAAGTAAACAATACTCCACTTGGCAGGAATTATATAGACGTAAAAGTAACGTCACGTCCCGGTTTAGGTCTGAATTCAACCATCAGTGTATATAGATGGGATTGAAAACCGATGCTGGTTCATAAACTTAGTTCACCACCTCCATAAGCACCCTATGATAACCTCTGCATGCATATTGTTATCCGAAAACCCGACTAAAATGGCAAATAAATCATATTTATAAAGAGTTCCATCGTTTAATTAAGTTCCTTCTATTTTGTATTGTACCCATTGTACTAAATGCTACTATAAAACAAACAAACAATACAAAAGATCACAAACTATAATACACACATTTTTAAATAACAAATAAATCATTAGTACGTGTAGTTAACACTACAGGGTAGGCACAGTCATTATCATCATCATATCATCCACGAGACCTTAACTTAAGGACAAAGTTACTTATTCATTTACAACCATTTTCATTACTTTTCAAAACTAACAGCCCCCTCCCACCTTCTCTTTTCTGTTATCAGTTTAAAAACCTAGCTGACATATCTATATAATTATACAGTTTAACTCTTTAGTCGTCTTACAAATGCAGCCTAGTTCATAATCCAACGACGACTTCATGATAAAAATAGGTATTCATTCCATAATCCACGTGGATTTTCCTAGATCAGCTTGCGATATTTTGTCTCTTAAAAAGGGAGGATATAATGATTTGCTCGGCTCGTGTACTGGTAGGTATACTCTAAGTTTGATACGTACCTACCCAAAAATTTGCAACTGGCTGCTTCAAATTTCTAATGTATTATTCGTTTTATTTCGTATGTACCAATAACCTCGCCGGAAGGTATTTTATGATGGATACATTGAGTGGACCACTTTTGTAAGACGACTGAAAATAGTTATACACTCATGAACACAACTCGAGAGCAATAACTTACGCCCTTCCGAATCGCTGAGAAAATTGTATAAAACGATAAATATTTTATCGGTGCCCTGTCAAAATATATATGAAAATATAATGTATGTAAGAAAATATAGTCAATTGTTTGAAAAAAGAGGCAAAAATAAGTTAGTTGTACCGCAATTCAGACTGTTCAAAGTACAGAAATACTTTATGGGGTTCGGTAATAAATGCTATAATAAAATAGCAAATAGCATACTAGATCTCAATGAACGTAAATTTAAAACATACATATATTAAGCGCGATTTATGTAATCAAGCTTACTACACACTGACAGATTATCTTGAAGATAAGAATGCTTGGCAGCATGTTGGTTCGGCTCCACTGGACAATACACAAATGCAGTCAGTAGTTCAAATTCCAATAGTAGGTAATTTAATACTTTCATTCTAATGTAGACAATCTAGTTTCCTTATTGCATCGAGCATTTATTTTTTTATTGACACATGTTTCGTTATTCACTATCTTCTGCCGCAACTTCGTGCACGTTCAACTTTAATTTTTTGTTCCTATTTCATTCCTTTAGCTACACAAGAAATGATTTTATTTAAGTCCACGAGGACTTAACGGGTTACCGGGGCTCCGGCTCGAAGGGCAGGAATAGGAACGGGGTGGGTTTTAATCAGTAAGAGTCTGACAATCCCAGAGTCAGACGTTCGATTATTTCCCCCCCTTTATTAAAATAATCCTGTGCAAACTAATTCATTTATACTGCTTTATTATGATATATTATGTATTATCGGCCAAACTAAATTTTAGATCAAACTAGGTTGGTAGGGTTAATAAATGTGTTATATAATATTAGTGCACCGCACAGTTAAGGATTTTATTAAGGACTATTTCTTTATCAATAAATGCGGTGATTATTCTGTGAAAGTGTTATCAACTATTCCAAAGTTCAGATTTGTTGAGTCACTGTAAAAGTGGTACACATGCGTTATATTTCTATATTTTATAAGCTTCTGTTTCACAGTATCTGGTTTTTTTTTAAGAAGGGAAAATCATCGAATGACTGCTCCCGTCTGGGTGAGGCGGGAGGGAGAGTCAGACTCTTACTGACTAAAAACCGCCCCGTTCCTTCTCCTGCACGTCGAGCCGGAGCTCCGGTTACCCGTTAGGTTCTCCGCGACAATTTATGAAGCACTAGTACCTATTTTTATCTGTATCTGTACAGTATCTGGTTAGGCTCCGTGTACCAGATTTTGTATATAGAATGTAATCTTTCATTTGTAAAATGTGGGAGAACCATGCTTCGGCACGAATGGGCCGGCTTGACCAGAGTGATACCACGGCCTCACGGAAGACCGACATGAACGCTTGCGTTATGTTTCGTCGTATGAGTAAGATTACCGGAGGCCCAATTACTCATCCCAGTTATGACTCTCAGTATTGAAGACAAACGACACAAGCAGAAGAAGGACTAAATTCAGTCTTCAGCAATTGTTTTCGGTAATTCAAGTCACATTAAATGGCTGAAATAATCTTATCTCAATCCAAAAGTTGTGGATGTGAATCGATTTCTGACATTACTTGTATGTACTTTGTGTCAAAAATCGATGTAAATACCAACATATAACTACTATCGCCAAACACATAAGTAAATAAAACTCAATAGACACCCTGTACGTCGAGGTAATAAGAAGAATAGAGATTTTATATCAATATCATTTATTTAGAGGTTTCCCGATAACAATATTCACGCATAGTGTCATTAAGGTATGATGACTATAAGTTTATGAATCACAATCAGTCTACTATGGTCTTCTGTATACTGTAATTTTTGAGGAAATTTCGTCACCGGGGTGTGAAGTTATCGACACTATCATGGAATCGCTTCCCAGTGAACTGCGGTATGAATACGCGGGAGTTTTGCTGTAAGTAACGCTGAGTCCGTTTATGATGACCCCGGGTGCAGCCTGGAACACCTTGGTAATATATTGTCTTTGACCTGCGACCGCTGGTGCCAAAAGTGTTGCCCTGAAAATAGTACCAAAATATTTATTCCTAACCTTACAGTCCATTGTCCGTTTCGGCCCACAATTGCTAGCAATGATTTCACCATGTGATCAAAAAATAAAATAATGTAAGAACTGAGCCACCTGTCTCCTGTAGCTCTGTCGGCTCCAGGTTGAGGCCGAAGTTTGTAACTCTCCTACAGTGCGCGTACACTTTGAGTATTATAATATGGTCATTGCGCTGTTACTCATTAGCTTAGTAGATACTTACTCAGATATCGGTATCCAAACATTAGCATTAAGCTCCGCGCTGGACACAATCCTTCCTTCGGGTGACATGTCATCATATAATACGGTGTAGCCTCCGGATATCTCCTCGTTCGGGAGGTCGGCGGCACTATAGCAAGCTGCGAGTGCTGACAGCACTGTGATAATGATGAAAGTCCTCATCTGTAACAACTCGTAGGTCTGAGACTAGAGCAGACTAGATGGTGGCAGTGCACATAGAAGCTTATTTATCAACTACTATGCGACATCGCCGCGACCGCGCACGCTGGTCATGAGGAAGTCTCGCTGTGATTTGGAACTAGTAAAGCTTTTCTTACGAGTTACATGCTAACTCGTATTTTTCAATTACAGCATGTCTCACGATAATTATTATAAAAGCATTATTTATTCATCTGTACATTTGGAAACGGAAAATTGAAATTTAACAGCAGACAGAGTTCAGTTCCCATTTTTGAGAAAATACGTAACTAGAAAATACTATCGGCTGCTTATAGTCTTCAAATTAAAACACTTTCTATATAACAAGAGAATATGCTCACCTTTATTATATTTTGTGTTTTCTTCGAACCGTAGGAAACGACAACTTGAAGCCAAGTGTATACAATGTGCTTCTGAGTTGTGTACCCGACTGTTATATAGTCATTTCTGTGATAAGACGCAACGTGTCATCAGTAGATGTAACAATATCTTTAAGGAAAAGGAGTTTATTTTGATTTCAATCGCCAACATCCGGATTAATAGTGATATACTAATAATAGATAATAATGAGGGTGTTTGCGATTGTCTAATTCCTCAATTATTCGTGGCAATACTTTTGTTTTGAGGGGAGAGTACAGTAACCCATTGACTTCTCTCACCTAGGGTAAGTTGAGAGGGAGTGTCAGACTCTTACTGACTTAAAACCACCTCGTTCCAACACCTGTTTCGTGTCGAAGCCCCGGTAAACCGTTTTTTTTTTTTTTTTTTTTAAGGGGGGAAAATCATCGAATGACTGCTCCCGCCTGGGTGAGACGGGAGGGAGTGTCAGACTCTTACTGACTAAAAACCACCCCGTTCCTTCTCCTGTACGTCGAGCCGGAGCCCCGGTTACCCGTTAGGTTCTCCGCGACTCCGAATCGGCATCGGCCCTATTGGGCCCCATCTGTGGTGGTCTGAAGGCTCTTTGTGCCGCGCGCGGAACGCGACGCGACTCTTACTGACTTAAAACCACCTCGTTCCAACACCTGTTTCGTGTCGAAGCCCCGGTAACCCGTAAGGTCGTCTGAGGTCCCGGTCTGACAACGACCTTACTGGACTCCATCTGTGTAGTGGTCAGGTGAACTGATGGGTCACGTAGTCCAACACAGGAGAAAATGCTAGTGAAGGGCAACATTTTTTTGAAACAAGAAAATCTGTATAGGCATTACTATCCTACTTGAAGGTTATTTAATCATATCGCAAAATATCAAGTATCATTCACATCGTAGGATTAAATTATAAGCTCTTGGTACAATCAATATTGCCTTAGGCCGTATTTGTACGCTACGATTGCTGTCTAAATACGACCCTGTTAGTTCAAAGTTAATAAATTAAGACTTCGCGGACGTATTCCGATTCATCATCATCATCAAAGACCCGTAAGGGTCCATCAGTGGACTTTTTGAAAGGAGAAAATCATACTATGAGATCCTTGGGTTAGGCGAGACGGAATGTCAGACTCATACTGACTAAAAATTACCCCGTTCCTACTCTTGCTCTTCGAGCCGGAGCAACCCGTTAGGCCTTCCGCAGCTTCGCGTTATCGTCATCGTAAATTTGCCGAATAATTACTATAACTACTCTATTTAAACGTTCCACTACTGACTAAGGGCCTTCTCTGCAAAAAGGAACTTGGATGAAATATGGGAAAAATGGGTTGAGCCTCCTTACAATCAAAAATTAAAAAAAAAACGATGAAGATCTTCCTTATTCCTTTTTTTGAGGGGGGAAAATCATTCAATGATTTCTCTCACCTGGGTGAGGCGAGAGGGAGTGTCAGACTCTTACTGACTAAAAACCACCCCGTTCCTATTCCTGTACTTCGAGCCGGAGCTCCGGCAACTCATTAAATCTTCTGCAGCTCCGTATCGGCATCACCCCTATTGGGCCCCATCTGTGGTGGTCTGATGGCTCCTTGAGGCGCGCACGTAACGCGCCGTACGCTCGGGTCTGGTTCTGGTCGGGTGGCGAGTCACCCGTGTTCGCCATCCGCAGACCCGTGTTTACGGTGGCCGGCGATCGACTCCCGATCCCCGACGCCAGAAGTGTCTTTCGCGCCGGCTGTAGCGTGAAGAGGTTCGTTCCTTCACGCGTCCCGCCTCCTCCTTAGCTAGCATGACTGCTTCGTAAAAGGAGGAGACAACCCGGCAACCCAGTCTCCCTCGCTCCGTACCATGGTCTGAACCAGTGCCTGACGCGGGAGGTCACCGTCGCCGAGTGCAAAAGACCTTAGCGTACGAGACACCACTTACTATGTCGTAAATATCATCACCAATGATAGTGATAACTGATAAACTTGAGTCAATGAGTAGATTATAATTCCTAAATATAGAAAGATAATATAATGCATGTAATATCTATTTTTACACCGCTTTTCCAGTAATTTAACGAAGTTGGACTTTAGAAGTTATTCATAAGGAAATCACAACATTTATTGATAAACAAATAAAGCTTTATCAGTATTTATTTTTACGAATTAATATCTTCCGTTTATTCTTACTTGATTGAATGAACACACAAAAACACAATATATTAAATTAAACAATTGTTTAACCGGCTTTTTTCCGGATTTATAGTTTAGTGAATAGGGAGTTCCAGCTCGAAGGGCAGGAGTAGGAACAGGGTGATTTTAGTCAGTAAGAGTCTGACACTTCCACTTGCCTAATCCAAGAATAGAGAAATCATTGGATGATTTTTCCTGAAAAGAAGGGAACAGAGGGTTACGTTTCCTAAGATCGGAAAAGGAGGTTCGTCCGCCTAGACGAGGTGATAATTCCTGGCAGGCACAAGAGGTTTCTTATGCATGTTTATTCGCGTGTAAACTTCACTTGGACGATAGGATATGGTGACGTTATCAACTAATCTTACGGCCTACAATTCCTTTCCTTAATCAAAAATAAATTATTTCAACTTTTCATTTAATAAAATATTAAAAATAATCACAATCATTAATTAATTTTATGACCAATTTAATTTGAATATTTTTCCAGCAAATTTTTAATAAATAAGTATGCTATTTGACGATAAAAAAACGTGATAAAATTCATAGCAAACTGTTGTTTTGACCCCAATTATCCTATAAGTGCCAATTGCTGTGGAAAAAAGGGTTCTCGTCACATAGAGAAATAATGAACAAACCAAAACTTTTACTTTAATTATATGTTAAAGTCTCCTCAGAATAAGGTTCGGGCTGCTGATAACTGCAAAGGTTACCGTGGCTTGGGCTGGAAGCAGAAGTCGGAACTGGGTTGGTTTTAGTTAGTAAGTGTCTGATTAGTTTTTTCACCTCACCCCGGGCGGGAGGAGTATTTGATTACATTGCAGCCGTCGAAAAAAGCATGGACACTATTTATAATTGTTGTAATAAGGTATTTTATAATCTTAAACATCCAAATGATTCAAGTAGCTCCATCTAGTTTTTCCTTGGAAAGTTAACCGCGCAGAATGTCATTTGTTACCTGTGTTTTTTTTCTCTCTGCTTCTTTGTATTTGCATCGCTCGGACCTGCGGACAGCGAGCATGGGTGGCTCACCGTCCTACCAGAACCAGAACCGAACGTACGTCGCGTCTCGTTCCGCCACCATCCGACCACCGCCATCAGACCACCAAGGATAGGGCCGAATAGGGCTGATACTGATTCGGAGTTGCAGAGAACCTAACAGGTTACCAGGGCCTCGACTCGACTCGAGACCCTTTGTTCGGCATTGCTGCTAGCCTGCTACAGTGGTCGCGGAGGAGTTAACGGGTTGCCGGGGCTCCGGCTCGAAGTAAGGAGAAGGAACGGGGGGTTTTTAGTCAGTAAGAGCCTGACACTCCCTCCCGCCTCACCCAAGCGGGAGAAGTCATTGGATTATTATCTTCCCTCAAAAAAATAAGTGTTAGCACGAACAAATGAAGAATTAGACAATCACAGTCACCCTTATTACGGTACATTATTATCTATTATTAGTTTATCACGTTTAATCCGGATGTTGGCGATTGAAATCAAAATAAATTCCTTTTCCTTAAAGATATTGTTACATCTACTGATGACACGTTGCGTCTTATCACAGAAATGACTATATAACAGTCGGGTACACAACTCAGAAGCACATTGTATACACTTGGCTTCAAGTTGTAAGTTTCTTCTGTTGAATTAAAATAAAAACATAAAGGGTGAGTGACAAAATATCTATTTGTAGTATCTACGATAGAAACTCCAAATTTGATTCAACAATCATAATTATACTAGTATTAATCGAAACTAGAACATATAATTAATATTGACTATGAAAAATGAAATGTAATTGAATGGCAAGGGCACTGAAATTGGTCCGTGGAGAATAAAAAATATTTTTAAGTATAGACGATTTCCTAAATGAAATCTTTTTTACTATTAAATATTAAAGTCTGTACTATAATACTCATTTTTCATCTCGTCTGGGCTATCCTTAACCAAACGTTGTCGTTACAGATGAGGAGCTTCATCATCATCACAGTGCTGTCAGCACTCGTAGCCTGCTATGGCGCCGCTGTCCTCCCGAGCGAGGAGGAGATGGTCACCATAATATACGACGACAAGTCACCTAATGGAATCATTATGTCCAGAGCAGACTTTAATGCCAGATCTCAGGGTTGGGTACTGCTATCTGAGTAAGTATCTAAGTAATATAATCGATTTAGTATAAAATTCGAGCCCTGTGCTCTGCGGACGGCGAGTAAGGGTAGTTCACCGCGCGATAAGAACCAGACTCGTGCGTAAGAAGCGTAGCGTTCCGCGCCCGTGAAAGAGCTATCAGATCAGCACAGATGAAGCCCATAGTAGAGCCGATGGACCGGGGCTACGGACGACTTTTAGGGTTACTGAAGCTCTGGCTTGAAGCAGGAGTCCCAAAACCAGTAATCATTTGACAATATTACCCAACAACAAAGTAAAATGTCGGAAGAGGGATTAAATAGTTTGATAAAGTTTAAAAATGATTATTAAATTTTAGACTTCATTATGCTGAAAAAAAAAGAACGAAGAAGATTGCTGTATTAAAAAAAAAATCTTTTTTTTTCAGAGCAAACGACTTAATTCCGGCTGTTGAAGGCCAAGAGCAGAGCATCAGAATGGTCTACAGAGCACAGCGCGGAGTCAAAATAAATATGCTGTCAGTATCTGCTCGTCTCAGTGGTATTCCTGAAGTAAACAATACTCCACTTGGCAGGAATTACATAGACGTTAAAGTAACGTCACGTCCCGGTTTAGGTCTGAATTCAACCATCAGTGTATATAGATGGGATTGAAAACCAATGCTGGTTCATAAACTTAGTTCACCACCTCCATAAGCACCCTATGATAACCTCTGCATGCATATTGTTATCCGAAAACCCGACTAAAATGGCAAATAAATCATATTTATAAAGAGTTCCATCGTTTAATTAAGTTTCTTTTATTTTGTAATTGTACCCATTGTACTAAATGCTACTATAAAACAAACAAACAACACAAAAGATCACAAACTATAAATAACATATAAATCATTAGTACGCGTAGTTAACGCTACAGGGTAGGCAGAGACATTTTCATCATCATATCATCCACGAGACCTTAACTTAAGGACAAAGTTACTTTTCATTTAAAACCATTTTCATTACTTTTCAAAACTAACAGCCCCCCATTCTCTTTCGTGTTATCAGCTTAAAAACCTAGCTGACATATCTATATAATTATACAGTTTAACTCTTTAGTCGTCTTACAAATGCAGCCTAGTTCATGATCCAACGACGACTTCATGATAAAAATAGGTATTCATTCCACAATCCAAGTGAATTTTCCTAGAACAGCTTGCGATATTTGGTCTCTTAAAAAAGGAGGATAGAATGATTTGCTCGGCACTTGTAGGTACTGGTAGGTATACTCTAAGTTTGATACATATACGTACCTACCCAAAAATTTGCAACTTGCTGTTTCAAATTTCTAATGTATTATTCGTTTTATTTTATGATGGATACATTGAATGGACCACTTTAGTAAGACAACTGAAAATAGTTATACACTCATGACCACAACTCGAGCGCAAAAAAATAGGAAATTGTAGTGGTCTTGATGACCCGTACAGACAAAGGTATAAGTAGAATAAACAATAAGTCATATGTAACAATATCTTTCATTTAGAGTTTTTCTGGGCATGCATATACCGAGCCCAATGACAGACTCTGTGTGAACTTAGAAGTAGGCAGAGCGCGGGAGGGAACAGTTTTCCTCACCCTCCAGGCACTGCCAGAGATACTCTGGGTGTCTGGGATCGGGTATCCGCGGACGGCGAGCAAAGGTAGTTCCTCGTTAGACCAAAACCAGACGCCAAGCGCATCGTGTTCCGCGCACGCTTTAAATAGCCATCAGACTACCACACATGAAGCCTAGTAGGGCTGATGCCCGATACGAAACTGCAGATAGCCTAGTGTGTTACCGGGGCTTCGGCTCAAAACAGAAGTAGGAACCGGAGAAGGAACGGGGTAGATTTTAGTCAGTAAGAATCTGAGACACTCGCTCGCTTCGCCCAAGGCATGAGAAGTCATTGGATGAACTGTACATTGAAGTATATAATAAAAAAAAAACTAAGATTTTATATGAATATCGTTTATTTTGAGTTGTTCGAGTAACAATATTTACCCATAGTGTAATGTAGGTATCATACAAGTTTATGAATTGAAATTAGTTCAGCTAATGTCTACTGAATATTGAAACTGTTGAGGAAATTTCGTCACCAGGGTGTGAAGTTATCGACACTATCATGGAATCGCTTCCTAGTGGACTTCGGTATGATTCCATGGGAGTTTTACTGTAACTAACAATGAGTGCGTTTATGATGACCCCGGGTGCCGCCTTGAACAACTTGGTAATATGTTGTACTTGACCTGCGACTGCTGGTGCCTCAAATGCAGCCCTGAAAATAATATCACAATATTAATTTCTAACACTACATTCCATTGTCAGTTTTTGATGATCTCACCGTGTGATTCTAATAATGAAATAACGCCAAATTTAATCCACCTCTCTCCTCACCTCCACATCTCCTGTAGCTCTGCTGGCTTCAAGCTGAAGCTTGGTTTGTAACTATCCTACAGTGAGGTACCCAATGTGTCAATGTTATGTTTGCAAGAATCAAATAGAATTGTATGGTCATTGCGCTGTAACTCATTAACTTATTAGATACTCACTCAGATATCGGTACCCATACAACAGATTTAGCATTAAGCTCTGCGCCAGACACAATCCTTCCTTCGGGCGACATGTCATCATACAATACGGTGTAGCCTCCGGATATCTCCTCGTTTGGGAGGTCGGCGGCACTATAGCAAGCTGCGAGTGCTGACAGCACTGTGATAATGATGAAGGTCCTCATCTGCAAGAACTTGTAGGTCTAAGACTAGGGCAGACTAGATGGTGCTAGGACGGGACTAGGTGCAGTGCGCGTTTAGGGGATAATTAAAAATGAATGTGTTGCTTATAACCAATGTAAACAAATGAAATATTTTAATATAAATTGATTTGTAGTATCTGTCTTCTGTCTAGGTAGATTCAATTTTTACAATTATTCTTGTCAATTAGGTAGTTGACCGTAGGTATACGTATCAAATATGAATGTAGCTAGTGGAGTGTAAAATATCAATTAATAGTGTACGTTGTGTAGTGGTGGGTACGGTTACAGCGCGGCGTGGCAGCGTCATGTAGTACCCCTAGCGCTATAGCTATTACGTCTGCGCTAGGCAGTGACAGAGTCACGCGTTAGATGTAGACGGCAATGCATTTTTTTTTAAGGGGGGAAAATCATCGAATGGCTGCTCCCGCCTGGGTGAGGCGAGAGGGAGTGTCAGACTCTTACTGACTAAAAACTACCCCGTTCCTTCTCTTGCACGTCGAGCCGGAGCCCCGGTTACCCGTTAGGCTCTCCGCGACTAGGCTATTGACTCGATTGGTATTAAGCGTGAGCGAGCTAAATTGCACTTGGTTGCGTAGTAAAAACAGTTGCTATTTCGACGAGTTGTTTCGCGTAGTGGTGCTTCTATATTATTCTGTGCTCGACTAATCTAAATAATGACAGACCATTGCAATTTATAGAAGTTTTTTATCAGTCTTACTATTTGGTGACTGGAAATTTAAGTTTAACAGCAGATAAATATAGTGCAATAACTATAAAATACTATCATCTGCATAATAAAGCCCCTGAATTAAAACTCAAACTTTAAACAAAATAAAATATCACTCACCTTTTTTTAATTATTATTTTCTCTTAGAACTGGAGGAACTTGCACTTTATAGCCAATTATTATGTACAATAATTATACCTCTAAATGTCATCGACTGTTATACCAAAACATTCTGTGATAAGAAGATATCTTCAGAAAACTGATGTTTATTTAGATTTTAATGAGCGATATCTGGATTAAAAGTAAAACTGATCGATAGTGAAGTACCGTATCATGGATGACACATGTTTTGTTATTCACTATCTTCTGCCGCAACTTCGTCCACGTTCAATTTTACGGAGAAATTTTTTTGTTCCTATTTCATTCCTTTAGCTACACAAGAAATGGTTTTAAAGTCCATTCTGTGGAAACAAAGTCATTTATACTGTTTTATTCTAATATATGTGTTACCGATCAAACTCAATTTCAGATCAAACTAGGTTGGCCTATGATAAATTAACCGAAGGTGATGGAGCTCCGCTCGGCGGGGCTCGCATCGTCAGCCCTCAATTCGTATGTCAGTTTTATCTTGAAAGACGGATAAACATATAGACATACATAAACATATAATATTAGTTCACCGCACAGTTGACGATTTTATTTAGCATTGTTTGTTTATCAATAAATACGGTGATTACACTGTGAGTGTTATCAACTAATCCAAAGTTCTTTGTTGAGTCATTGTAAAAGCGGTAGATACACATGCGTTATATTTCTATATTTTATAAGCTTCTGTTTAACAATATCTGGTTAGGCTCTGTGTATCAAAATTTGTATATAGAACATAATCTTTCATTTGTAAAATGTGGGAGACCGGAGTGATACGATGGTCTCACAGAAGACCGACGTGAAACAACGCATGCGTTATATTTCGTCGTGTGAGTGAGGTTACCGAGGGCCCAATCAATCCTTCCCCCGTTTCTCATCACAGAATCCCCAACAATCCTTATATATCTAATCCCAAAAAGGCCGATAACGCAGTTGTAACACCATCGGTGCTCCGGGTGTCCATTGGCGACGCCGATTGCTTACCATCAGGTGAACCGCTTGCTCGTTAACCGACATAACGCATAAAAAAATTTAGAACTAAGATTTTGTTTTTTGACAGTCGGCTGATACACAGAATAAATGGTCTTTATGTTATGTTTTCTCATCGTCGTCATCACGGTAGACCTAAACGCAAAGCAAAGGTTGGCTGCGTTAGCACTAGCCGCACGCGGCATATGGGCACACAGGGACTTGGGGTATGTAATGAGAATGGTGAGCGTTTTATCGAATTTTGCCAGAACCACGACCTAACTATCGAAGGATCATTATTTATTCATGGGGATCATCATAAATACACCTGGGTATCACCCGATGGCGTCACAAGGAACCAGATCCACCACATTGCCATAAGTTTCAAATGGCGTTCGTCTTTGCTCGATATCCGCAAACGTAGGGAAGCCGATATTGATAGCGACCACCACCTGGTTGTTGCTGAAATGCGGCTTAAGATTGCGGTAGCCCACGCATGTAGAAGACCTGGCAGAGTTGGAAGAAGATTCGAGGTCTGGAATGGAAGACTGGATGTCGCAACACACATGGGATCTGATCGAGGACAGGAGGAAACTTCATCTGGAGCTTCTTGAAACTCACAACGACGCTGTTCGAGCCGATCTTAATACGCAATACCGTCAAAAGCGCAAGGAAATCTACCGCAGTACCCGCAGGGATAGGCGACAGTAGGCTGACCGTGTTGCTGCCCAACAAGCTGCAAACACCGGCAATTTAAAGGATTTATACCAAGCAACAAAATCCTTGGTAGTAAGTCTAGGAGGAAGAAGCCCCTGAAATCTAAGGATGGTCAGCTTATTGCAACTTCAGAAGAGCAGCTGGCACGTTGGCGTGAACACTTTGAAGAGGTCTTCCGCTTATCAGCGACAGCTACACCTGATGCACTAAATATTTATTCCACACCACCGCGGCTACTTGACATTGATGTAGAACCACCATAGGACTATAAGTCAAGTAAGTCATGATATGTATTATCCACAAATTGTTCTTCTCAGTCTGGACGTCGGGTGTATATGTATAATATTGTTTATTTACGACACATGACAAAATTGTAGTGTAGGACAAATTAATTAACTCGTCGAGTACCGGTTTTGTAGACAAAATTATAGAACAATAGGTTGCGGTCACCGGTGACCGATTGGTGTTTGACAGCTTAATATTTTTTTAAGAACAAACAAACAGTACGCCGCATTTCTTTTTTGACTGCAATAAGATAGTAGTCAGCAGTCACCGGTATTACCGTATATCTATTGATTAGCAACTTTTAATGCGGTTATCAATGATTGAAATCTAAATAAAAAGTGTTTTTCGCATGTGTTTTATCGAAAAAAATACTATATAACAGTCGATGACACCACTTAGCTGCAAGTTGAAAGTTAGTTAGGGTAAGTGATTTATCTGCAATAGAAATAAACGATCATACTAGGTATCTAAACCAGAAATATTCCCAGATATATATACTTTCTACTAAATTAAATCTAGTTAACAGAATAATAGCCTGGTACCAAAAAATCTATAACGATATTTCATAACTCTCTTTCCATGTACTCTGAGCTAATTTAACCTAACGTGGTTGTTGCAGATGAGGAGCTTCATCATCATCACGGTGCTGTCAGCATTTGCAGCCTGCTATAGTGCCGCTGTCCTCCCGAGGGAGGAGGAGATGGTCACCATAATATACGACGACAAGTCACCCAACGGAACCATTCTGTCCAGAGCAGACTTTAATGCCAGGTCTCATCAGGGTTGGGTATTGCTATCTGAGTGAGTATCTGAGTAACATAATAGATTTTAACAAAGTAACCATTCTTATAGTTTTATTACAAAGCAAACGAAAGCCCATTAAGTACACTCACTATTTGAGTATTACTAGATGGAGGAAATAAAGGCATAATTCATATTATGCCCTTTTTTTCATATTATTCATACCTTAACCTAGTACGGGAATGCAATAAGAATACTTGGAATATTATATTATACAAAGTGGGCCCAACGTGATCAAGTTTATGTAAAAGACCTAAAGTATTAGTATGTTGAAAATTATTATAGAAATATTATTTTCAGGACGAACGATTTCGTGCCAGCTGTTGAAGGCCAAGTGCAGAGCGTCGGCGTGTTCTACAGAGCAAATTTCGGGGTTCGAATTGATAGGCTTGTCATAACTACTTATGGCCATCTTATTCCTGATGTAGATCGTACTCCACTGGGCAGTAATAAAATGATAGTAATTTTAACTTCACGTCCCGGTGAATTAATCAGATCAACTATTGAAACATATAAGCGGGATAACATTTCTTCATAAACTTAGTAATTATCCACCAACATGATTATTGTCATCCAAACATAAAACTTAAATATGTGCTTATGTTTAATTTACTACCAAATATATTAATAAAATATAACAGACAAAAATAGTAAATTACCACCTAAATAATGTGACATCACCCATAACCAAAGATAAGCTAAAAGAGACCAAAGCAACGGAGCCCCGCTATGAGGGGCTCCTATTTTTATTTATTTATTTATTTTACACTTTAATGCACACAAAATAAGGTACATAAGGCGGACTTAATGCCATATGGCATTTTCTCCCAGTCAACCTTTGGGTTAAATGTAAGCTCAGCGAAAATGGGCCTGTGTAATATCCAAAAAAAAAAACAAAATAAATAACTAATAGTAATAATAATAATAATAAATACTGTATAACATACTGTATAGAAATATATAATAAACACAAAATATGTACAAACATAAATAACTTCATATATGTAAGATGCTTTGTATAATGTGTGTGCGCAGCCTTATTACCAGCCTTGTGTTCGTCGCCTAACAATAATGACGTTTGACACATAGTGGGACAGTGACAGCGGACAGCAGCCCGCGCTTTTTTTGATAGAATGCAAAACCTCGGGTAGATTTAGGATTGTAATATTTTCTAATTGTTTCAAAGTTTCATAGAAGAAAAGTTAAAGTGCTGGTTCAACTGATTAATGTAATACAGTGTCGATCTACTGAATTATTGGAAGTAAAAACCTTTAATTGTCGATTTTTCTGTTTTAGGTTGGTATTGGTAATGTGTACCTACATGTTTGATGTAATTGATTTGTGTTTCAATTGATGTTAACAATAAACTTTCTGTTTTAGATAAATCAAAATTGTGCGTTATTTGCTCCTGTATTATCCTACATATTACA